GAAGGGGCACTGTCTTGCATGCATAGAATGGAAAGGGGCACTGTCCTGCATGTATATCATGGAAAAGGGCACTGTCCTGCATGAATATCATGGAAAGGGCACTGTCCTGCATGCATATCATGGGAAGGGGCACTGTCCTGCATGCATCTCATGGAAAGGGGCACTGTCCTGCATGAATATCATGGAAAGGGGCACTGTCCTGCATGAATATCATGGAAAGGGGCACTGTCTTGCATGCATATCATGGAAAAGGGCACTGTCCTGCATATATATCATGGAAAGGGACACTGTCCTGCATGCATATCATGGGAAGGGGCACTGTCCTGCATGCATCTCATGGAAAAGGGCACTGTCCTGCATGCATATCATGGGGAGTGGCACTGTCCCACATGCATATTATGGAAAGGGGCACTGTCCTGCATGCATCTCATGGAGAGTGGCACTGTCCTGCATGCATATCATGGAAAGGGGCACTGTCCTGCATGCATATCATGGAAAGGGGCACTGTCCTGCATGCATATCATGGAAAGGGTCACTGTCCTGCATGAATATCATGCATATCATAACCTTTTTGAAAGCTGCTGCCTTCTTCCTATGCCAGTGTTTGAAGAAGGTATCTTTTAGAAATGAGCATTAGATCTTGTGGTTAAGTTTTATACCATCTGGAAGTCTGAAAGATCCAAGAAGTCCATCACTGATAAGTGCAGCCCACACCATCACTCCTCCACCACTCTTGAGATGTGTTTGTGCGCATTCTTGACATTTTAGCTTGCATGCCTTATTGAGTGGAGGTTATGTTTCAGCCTTTGTGACCCTAGCGATGTCATGTAACACACTGCACATAGTGCTTCCAGAGATTCCATTCAGATTGCAGTTTTTAAAAACGGTGGCATTTTATTCTAAAGAGTTTCTGGACGTCTACCCATTAATTTGACACGTAGCTTTGGCAGTTAATTTGTGTCTTCTTCTCTCCACATGCTTCTTCCATCTTCATTGGCTGCTGGCCACAAATCACCCGACTGTACAGTGAACATGTTTTGTATGTTTGGCAGTTTCAATTGTTTTGCATCCCTATGACTGGCTCTTTACTATTTTGCTTTTTTTCTGCTCTCTGCAAGGTCCTTTTTTGGCCCATTTTGATAGCCATAGAAATTTGCTTAATAATTCTGCACAGGAAAGTATCTATGTTTTCCTGTTTTTCTCCAAACAGGAAGCACGCAGACCAGATACTGAACATGCACAGCCTTTTAAACAGTTCATTCTTAATTGCAGATTCATCTGGACTGAAAATATTGGTCGGAAGAGAAGATACAAATAAAATTTTACACACTTGCCTAATAATTCTGCACACAGTGTTCTTGATAGTTTCCAGTCTGACTTCCATTAGGGACACAGCACTGAAACTGCTTTAACTAGGGTCATAAATGATGTAACAATGGCCAATGATGCTGCCAATGCAACGCTGTCCATGTCTCTTGACTTTAGTGTAACTTTTGAAATGACTGGGCATTACTTTGTTAACCCTTTCAACCCTATCCATTTTTGAATGTTTTTCTGTCCCTTCGATTTTAGGCTCATTGCATGGTATGTTTTTTGTTTTCAGGACATTCTGGGCTACTCAGATATGTCATAATTGAATGTGTAAATGCTGACACAGTCTTGATATCATCCTTTTTATGAGGAAAAGAACTACCATATTTTACAGTTAGGATAAGGTTCTTTTCATTATAGCCATCCTTCTTTTAACACCAAACCCACCTTGAATGTTTATTGCCAAAAAACTCCATTTTTGTTTCATCAGACCATTGAATTTGGTTCCAGTCAAAGTTGTATTAGTGTTTCGCAAACTCCAGCTGCTTACTTTTATGAATAACTGACAAAAAAAGATGATCTGATGGTTTTTTCTGAGACATGGTAACCCCAAGTTTTTACCTGGTCTGGTAATTCACTAGCAGTGATCCTTGGGGTTTCTTTTTGCCTCTCATGATCCTCCTCACTGTAGGCGGGAGAAAATAAACTTCAGTCCTCTTCCAGGCCGGTTTGTAACAGTTCCAGTTGATGCCCACTTTTTTTTATCATTGCCCTATAAGTAGAAATGGGCACTTTCAGGTGAGTAGCTATTTTTTAATACCCATTCCGTGACTTATGAAGGTCAACACACTTCTCCCTCATTTGGTTTGCATGTTCAATTATCTTTCACAAATCTCCGCCACATCTTGAGGAAAAACCTCACCACCCTCTGGCGAGTGAGTGGCATAGAAGAAGGGGCAAGGAGAAAGCCAGGAAATGTGTTGCCTTCATTTCCAATCCCTTTGGATTCACAAAGAAAATACTCGGGCAGAAAAGGAGTGGCCAACTGGCATGCACTGATGAGGAGGTTAATAAGCACCTCAGCACCATCTACAGTGACAGTGCAAGAGATAAAGACCTTGGGCCATGCAAGACCCTCATAAGCCCGCCAGAACCCATTGCGGCATTTAGCAGCAAAGAGCCAACTTTGAAAGAAGTGGAAGAGGTTGTAAAGGTGACTAGAATCAGCTCAGCACCAGGCCGGCATGGAGTACCATACGTCATCTACAAGAGGTGCCCCAGACTCTTGAAGAGGCTATGGAAACTCATAAAAGTTATCTGGAGAAGGTGGAAGGTGGCACAGCAGTGGCAACACGCTGACGGTGTTTGGATTCCAAAAGAGGAGAACTCAAGTACCATCGAGCAGTTCAGAGTCATCTCGTTCCTCAGTGTAGAGGGGAAAGTATTTTTCAGTATTCTGGCCCAATGGCTGACCGAGTTCCTCCTGAAGAACTCTTACATTAACACCTCTGTGCAAAAGGGAGGAGTCCCGAATGTGCCAGGATGCATCGAACACATGGGGGTCGTCACCCAGCTGATACGGGAGGTGCGGGAAGGCAAAGGAGACCTGGCCGTTCTTTGGCTCGACCTCGCTAACGCCTATGGGTCCATCCCGCATAAGCTGATAAAAACGGCACCATGTTCCAGAAAAAACCAAGGACTTCATACTGGACTATTACAACTCTTTCAGTTTGAGAGTCACGTCTGGAAATGAAACATCTGTGTTCCATCAGCTGGAGAAGGGAATTATCACTGGATGCACCATCTCCGTGATGTTGTTTGCCTTGAACATGCTGGTGAAGTCGGGAGAGGTGGAGGGTAGAGGCCTACTCACGTGGCAGCCCCCCATCCGAGCATTTATGGATGATCTGACACTGACTACAATGTCGGTTCCGGGGTCAAATGGATCCTCCATGGGCTCGAGCATCTTATCAACTGGGCCCGGATGAACTTCAAGCCAGCTAAGTCCAGGTCACTGGTGGTAAAAAAAAGGGAAGGTTACAGACTAGTTCCGCTTCTCACTAGGAGGAACTCAGATTCCATCCGTTGGAGAGAAGCCAATCAAGAGTCTGGGTCAGACCTATGACTGCACCCTGAAACTGCACTCCAGGAAACAACTGACCAGTTGGGGACCTGGCTGACAGCGGTGGACAGGTCAGGTCTGCCTGGCAAGTTTAAAGCTTGGACTTGTCAACACGGCATCCTGCCCCGACTGCTCTGGCCACTGCTGGTCTATGCTGTGCCCTGCGGAAGTGGCTAGGCCTGCCATGTAGCCTCAGTGACATCGCCTTATACGGGAGGAAGAACAAGCTAAAACTACCCTTCAGTAGTCTGAAGGAAATTAAAATGAAAGCTGGGGAGAAGCCCCACCGGCGCCTGAATCAGCCAGGGGGGTTGCTCGCATCAGCACGGGACTGGCAGTTGAAAGCCGACCTTGGGAGACAGCTCAAATTCGCAGTGACCACTCACAGGCCAGGTTTTGTCCTGGTGTCGGAATCAACTAGGCAAGTAGTCCTGCTGGAACTGACTGTGCCCTGGGAAGGCCGGATGGAGGAGGCCTGTGAGAGGAAGAGGCCCAAGTATGGGGAGCTGGCAGGCGAAAGCCGAAGCAGGGGGTGGAGGACCTGGTGTTACCCCATCGAGTTCGGGTGTAGAGGATCTGTTGGCCAGTTACTCATAAGGGCCCTTAAGATGCTCGTGGTGAAGGAACTGCACATAAAGAAAGCCGTCAAGAACATCACAGTCGCTGTCGAAAGGGCGTCAAGGTGGCTGTGGATCAAGCAGGGTGATCCGTGGACTGTACAGGCTGCTCAGACACAAGCCAGGGCCTGATCAACCCTGGCTGGGTCGCCTGGGCGAGGGTGTATGATGTTGTGAGACCCGAAACACCCAATGACCCCAGGATACATCACTGATGAGATGCACCACAGGTGTATGTAAGAACCCATGTTGATGGATGACTAAGGGAATTTGGCTTCTGTGTCAACTCATATTTGTACACCAGTTGATCAGGAAGTCATGGATTACAGCTTGAAGGTTCCTATTCACTCCAATCAACTCAAAGATGTACAATTTACAGGGGAAACATGCTTCAGTTAAATTGTGTTCACTATAATTTCCAATAATCGTGGCACATGTGTTTTTGTTAAAAATAATTATTTCTTGATGAATTATTTATTTTTCTTTGAATAAATTTATTTCAATGACAGGTTGGATTTTTCTTATTTTTTTCTGTGTGAGATGAAGCTACTTCACCAAAAGGTGGGTTTTTTCTAACCCATCTGAAAGAAATTGAAATAGAAGAGCATGGCTTAGTTTATGACACACTGGATAAACACAGACATACTGTAACTGACAGGTTTAGAGTCTAATGCTGAATCTTTATTGCTATAATTTTTTTTCGCGTATATACTGTATGATTGATAAAGTGAGATTTGAAAATGAAACTTTTAGTCGGCATTTTAGCCTCAAACAACAAACCAACGCTGTAGCACATCACTGTGTTTACGTGAGAGGTATTCTAGTTACACGATGAGCGGGTTCTGTTTCAACTGTTCTGACGGAGCTTGACATCAAACATACATATACAGAGGGAAGAGCACAAACAGGATCATTCGGACCACCCATGACCTTTGCTTTCCTTCCCACAGGTCTGGATGGTGCCCCGGGTGGACACTGTCTTGAGCTGGAGTGCTGGTTCAGTCCCATGGAAGCGTGACATCATAGATGTGGCTTATGAACTATAGCATCATAAGTGCAACCTTCAATCTGCCAGCTGACACAGACCTGCTCAGAAAGCTGACTCATGGCTGGACTTTGACCATGACCACAGTTTACATCTTGCAGGCTTATTTCTCTCTGTTTTCTATGATGTTAGCATGGTGAGGCAGCCACTCAGCCTCCAGCAGTATTCTTCTCCCTACTTGGGAATTTTTGGTTCCTCTTCTCTGTTGCCTTCTGACCTTCTCTCTTCCCATGTTCCTTTTTACCCTTTTTCATATACCAGTGTTCCCCAGCCCGGTCCTCGGTGGCCCCCGGACAGTCCACATTTTTGCTCCCTCGCAGCTCCTGGCAGCAAAAACTTGGACTGTCTGGGGGTTCCTGAAGACTGGGTTGGGGGACACTGCCATGCACCCTTGTAACAGGCTTTGGGGTACTGTTGTGAAAGGTGTTATATAAAAATAAAAATAAGGAATACTATATCTAAAACAACACATACTTAATGTTAAAAACTAATTTGTATTACAAATTAATTTATATTTAAAAATATTTTTAATATTCAAGTGTGTCTTTAACCATAAATCTAATAGACCTGCGTAAGCTTCTTTCTGTATTTTGCAAAAATGAAACTAAGATCCTTTTAAGATTTCATGAAAAGTCTTTATTTAACATTTTTCAATGCAAACCACCACATTGGCGTGTCTGATCAGAACTATCCTCCCTTTTGTCAAAATGTTTACTGTGCCTGGCTACATGAAGCTCAGTCTGGGAAGAGCAGTCTAGTCCTACAGTATAACTGTATGCATTGGAGAGTGACATTCATTTGTACAAATATTTTTTAATTTGTATAAAACATTCTATAAATGTATGATCATAAATAATGTATGATCTATCATTAATAAATCTATCATTCATTAAAAAAAAAAAAAATCTACCCAAAATAACTAAAAAATTATTTTGTTTCATTTCCTCACACTTATAGAATACAGGGCCGAATTAAGACCAATATAGGCGTCTGGGCACCAGCACAATCAGGAACTGTCCATCAACCCTGTCCTGTAGTGCAGTTGCTGTCAACTTTGGTCCTTCAAACCAAACTCTGCATTTGCACCAATGGCATGAAAACCCTGTGAGCCTCTAATCACTGCTGTCGAAAAACGAAAAGTTCTTAAGAAGTACGTTTCATGTAACGATTTGGTAATCCACCCACGCCCCTTAAAATGAATAGGACAGTAGTAAATTTAACTATATAAGTGAAACAGTCAATAGACCAGCTTATTAAAAGGCTGGATGCTTTATTGAAGAGGGTATCTTCAAAAACTTTTCAATGGTGATTCGCATTAAGTTCAGAAGGGTATAGATACCTGTAGATTAATCGCAGTGACTAATGCACATTGGTGAAGGCAAAGTTAGCAGAGCGGTTATCCAGCTCTCCATGCACAGACTCGGGGCCTATTGCCGATCCACGAACTTTACATTGATAGGAGCTGCTGGAGTGAGCAATCCATGGGTTTTGGCGTGGACCTCGTTAGTCAGGGGGGACACCTCGATACGGAACTTCTGCAGGAGCTGTAACACAATAGGATAAGAAACATCTGTTTAACTACATTGTCATTATAGAACAGAGGTTTGGAAAATAGAGCTGTGCATGGTTACGTTTTTTTTTAATCAGGGTGGTGGAGGTTTTCGAACCTGAACAAGGGTTAAAGATCAGGTAGCCTAGGCCTACCTCTAAGCAGTGGAATTTGTTTTTGCTTCACTGTTGATAGTTTGCACCACTTTTATGAATTCCCGAGAGGTGTATAGTTGAGGTCCAGCAAGTAAAAAAATCCAGACCAAGATTTTGCTTCAACCAACCAGTTGAGTATAAAAGAGGCACATTCACAAAGTACTCAACTGGTTGGTTGACGGAAAATCTTGGTCTGGATTTTTTTACTTGCTGGACCTCAACTATCCACCTCTGAAATTTTCCATGTATTAAAAATGAAAAATGAAAAATGAAGTGAGTATGCTGTGTGCATAGCTATCTTTAGCGCTGTGTTGCCGCAATCGGACTAGCCATAGCACAAAGGTCCAAAACAGCCTCAGCCTTGGCTCAAAAAGCCAGGGAAATGATCCAGAAACATCACAGGGGACTCTAGTCAACATCCTCTGTGCTCTGGCTCAGCTGCCTAATATGTGCTTGGCCTAGTGAGATGGTGCAGGAGGCTTGTGCTGCATTTTGATGCCATGTTACATGGACTTTCTAAAACAGGAAGCTTCTTAGACAAACAAAGACCACAGAGACCCAGCAAAAAGTTTCCAGGACTGATGGGACACACTGATCACTTTACAAGGAAGAGGAACACAGTAACTTAAAGGGAACCTATTATGCTTTTCTAGTTTATCCCTTTCCTTTAATGTGTTATATAGGGAGTAACTCTCACCACAGAAACCACTCTCCTCTAATCTGCCTGAAACGCCTCGTTGCAATTCCAGCCCTTATTTCCATGACATGGTGAGGTCATCCCATAACACAGTCCTTATTGGCCACCTACCTGCGAGAATCTGTCTGCATGCTGTAAGACATCCCAAAAATAAAATTATGAATGTGAATATGAATACAATAGGGCCCCATGGAAGCACATCCTGCACATTAGCGTGCAAAGTCGTGGTGTGGCTTTGACCCTCGGGATTCCCTTCCACGTTACAAAAATTATTTTATCACCTGAGAAATATCGTCTTTTAGGCCAAAGTATAGGTACATGCCTTTGTTAACAGTAGATTGCTCTTCCTGCTGTGCTACAAATAAAACAACTGATAATCTACCAAGATGAGAAACAGAAGTAGATTCGGACAAACCCGGGTGACGGCCAGATACATCTCGAGCTCGGCGATCCTCCTGCCCACACAGCTGCGGATCCCGTGGCCAAAGGGGATCGAGCCAAAGTTCTCTACTCGGTCAGCTGTGTCCTTTCGTATCCACCGATCTGGCTTGAATTGGCCAGCTTCCAGGAAGTAGTCTTCATCCATGGAGGTAGAATAATGGCACATGGCCAACTGAGTCTAAAGCAGAAAGATATGGATTTAATGTATGAAGTTCCCCTGCCCATACAGCGACATCCTGCTTAGGGTCAGTAAGCCTCCTGCAGACTGATTTAGCCACACTTCAGGCTACTGAGAGGCCACACCAGGTTCATGACACGGTCCTGCCTGGTTCTTACCCCTTTTGGGATCAAGTACCCCCCCACAATAAGGTCTTCATGCGTGATCCGACCATTTCCAGGAAGCACTGGGAACAGCCTGAGAGAGGTGACAGATGGGATGGGACTGAATGTTTGAATCCCGGACTTGCACACAGACACTTTCCCACTCCGGGACACCCAAGATCATGCTTTCATTACGCGAATGAGCCAAAACCAAAAAAAACCCTCCAACAATCATTTTAAGCTCTGTAGGTTCACCTGAGAGTCTCTTTCACCAGTCCTCGGATAAGCGGTAGGTGTTTGACATCCTCTCTGACGGCCACCTGGTCATGACCCAGCTTCCCCACCACCTCCTCGTACACCTGCTGCTGAACCTCTGGATGTAATGCCAGCAGGTACGTAACCCAAGACAGCGTGAAGGACGTCTGTGCGACAGGCAGGAGTGAGCAGCACTCCCATTAATCCATGGCCCTAATCATTAATAGTTCCTGATTGTTGCAGATGATACACAATTCCTCAGCAGCCTTTAGACAATCACCCATTAAAGCCCGCAGACCAGGAGCTAAACCTCACACACCTTACCCCACACCCCCACCCAATGCCTTTTCTGCTGGTGTTCCCCTCTCTCGTCCCCTCACCACTATCCACCCCATATGCATGCCCTCGCCTTCCTCACTGTGTCTACTCCAGCCAGCAGCATCTCTGTCATGTTAGCGTAGATCTCCTCCAGCGACATCTCCTGGGTCACCAACAAGTGAGTGAGCAGCCCTCCTTTCACTTCCTCGCCATCAGCCAGTTTCTTCTGAATCTCTGAAAGCTTCTTGTCAATATGGATCTTACCTGCAGGAACACGAGTGGACAGAAATAGTGCTAAATACAGCATCATGAGCTCAAACCTCAGAGCAGTCCATAGTCTGAACTCTTGGTCATGCCCATGGGCTTATTTATAATGAGCCAATGGGAAGTACTTAATGTTTGAGTCACATGCTTCTTTCTGCAACTGTCATTGGTCGATTACTCATGTTTTAAGTTATACACATTCAACCAGATTTGAATAATATGAGAATAACCATTATTACTATGCCAAGTAATGAATCTCTCTTCATGATGAAAACTCTCATCCTTTGACAACCCTCCTTTCTATCCAAACCGTTACTCGTCCTGCTGCCACCCACAAGCTCAGACCTCCCGTCCACAGACCTACCCACCCCCCAGCTCCTAGTAAGTTCTCACTGAATTTGAATAGGCCATCCCAGGAGCTGCAGAACTCCTCCCAGGGCTTGGGGAAGATGGGCCGCAGCCACTTGGGAATGGCTCCGGCATACATGGTGGTCTTGAAGGAGCTGAACATGAGGTGCAGGGCAGCGATGTACTCCAGGCTCTGCGTGGGAATCTCGTCCTGCAGGCAGCCCAGCCGACACTCATACAGGATGGTAGATACACCTGGACAGATGGTGAAATGCGCTACACTAAGCTTAAAAAACACAACAACAGTATCTCAGACCTTTATAACCCCCCCCCCCCACACACAACAACCCAGACCCAAAAACTCCCCCTTCCTCACCTTCCATGGCATACTTAAAGAAGAGGTCATTGACGTTGACCACCGTCTGCCCATCGGCCTGTTTGCCACGCAGTGTCCAGATCCTGTCGATCAGGTCGTCGACCACTTCGTTCACATCGCCGGAGAAGACTGCCACGTCGCGTGGTCGCATGATCAGCTGCCTGAGGACGCTGCGCATCTTGAGCCATTCCTCACCCTCCCTGCAGGGCGGCGATCCGAAGCCACAGTCAGTGAGAGTAGGAGGTCCTTCAGAAGAGAATGGCGGCTGGGACAGGGGTGGCCGTCAGCCAGCAGAGTGTAGGCTATGAGGAACTTGATAGCACTAGCAGCGTTGGGAAAGCGACGCTGTAGCTAGGTGGACCCTATCTCACGACTGCACCTAAGATGCAGCCAATCACATTGTTGCACCTAAGATGCAGCCAATCACATTGTTGATTGGCAGTTTTTCCTTGCTACCAGGCAACAAAGAAAGTCGAATACGAAAGACGCTACAAGGCTTTACAATGACCTCAATGGCTGCCAGCCACAAAGCTCACACTCACGCAGAGATGAGACCCGTGGAGCGGCCCCTCATGTCACGGTACTCCTGCCACGACTCCATGTTGGCCCGCTGAGGGGCTATGCCTTCCGACCTCAGTACCTGGGCCACCATGTCCCGGTCCGCGATGGACACCACCAGCTGCGGGCCGAACCTCGACTTGAAGATCTTTCCGTACTTTTTCCTGTGTTCCAACTGTAGAGAGACGCTTTCAATTAGCGGCTAGAGCAGATGTATGAGGGTTGAATCATCAAAGTGTGTCTTTATTAAGGAGATTATGTTATGCAGTTTTGGTGAAACTTGGATGAACTGTGTAATATGGACACAGATATCTTCACATTTAATTGTTTTTAGGGAGGGAGGTAAAACTAACAATGGTTAATTGGGGTAACCACAAAAAAAGTGTCTTTATTAACAATGGACAGAAAAAGCTTCTTATTGCACTCAAAAGAAAATAAAGAGATCAAGCTTAGAGAGGTGGTGCTAATTTAATCATTTTAACTGGCAACTTTTTTTTGATGTGCAGAACAAATCATATTAACGAATCTAATTTTGGTTTGCAGCCATCTGGACGAAGACTAAGGTCCTTACCTGACCTAAAACAAAGAGGGCTTCTGTTTTAATCTGCCTGTGGTCTTTACAAAAAACACATCACATTTGTTCTGTTTGCGGCATATGACCTTAAATACAGTCTCATAATGCCTTTGAACGGCAGCTTCTTTTCTATTCTATTCTGTTTTTATATCGGTTTGTTGCAATAGCATCGATGAGGCAAGTAACAGTTTTCTTTTCAGTGGCATATATTTCAGGGTTGACAACTTCGGTAGCTGGATAGCCTGAGATTTTCAATTCGAGACAAGTCTGCAAACGCATTTACATGTATGTGACTGTTTTATTACCTTGTAAATGATCTTCAGGGTTTGCAAGCTATCCCAACGCTTTTGAGGTAGTTAATTTTAGGTTTATAATGGAATAACATAGCTTTGCTGTAGGATTTCTTGCGTGAGAGTTGGCACCACTGATATTTATCCCGATTTCCAACGTTCAACTACTGTAATCTGACAAAACGTTTTACTTGCACTCACACATTGCTCTGCTGTACAGAAACATTACTGCCAATACTTGACAATAAGTTTGCCAAAACAGCAGAAGTTTTCCAGCAGCGGCGGGTGGTTTATGGGACAGGATCCACTGCACGGATCCTAGTTATGCGATCACGATTTCCGCCTGTATCTGCTTCTGCGAAATAGAGTGTGCAGCTCAGTATATTTTGAGTCTTTATAAAACGGATTATCTGTACAACTCCCATCAAACCTGCTCGTAGCTTCTTATTTAAGCGGCATGCACGGCACTGTTCTTCTTGGATAGAAACTATATATGACACTCACTTTAAACACTATAGGTCTCACCTGTATTTCGTGGATCCGGCTGAATCCGTCCCGGTAAAAGAACTCTATCAGGTTACTCATGGTGCTAGGTCCCGGCATCTCTTTGATGCTTTTTACCCGACTGTCTTTATCCTCCTTCGCCGGCGCCGGCTTGGCTGCCAAGTTCCCAGCCAGAACATTTTCCTGCAGCTCAGGCACTGACCGGCTCGAAAAAAGTCTGTGGTCATGTGCAGCTGCGAGCAAAAAAAAGGCATTTTCTGATTGTCTCAGCAACCTCCTGCTAAAAAGTACAGCTGATTTATGATAAATGGCCATGATCACTGTTTGACTTAAACTTCAGAAGGACGATCAGGCGTAGGTTTCAGTCGTTTGCTCCACTAAAAATAAATATACAGCGTTCCGAAAGTGTCCGCGGTTGGACGATTTATAACGGGACTGCTGGGGGTCCGTCACCTCCGGCTGTTTTAATGTCGCTCTTAGGGGTGTGCCGGGGGGAGGACTCCCAGAACACCTCGATCTTGTTAAAAACGCCTGGATGAGAACCAGGTTACTTCCATAACTTTAAAGGGCTGAGTAACGCCTCCTAGAGACTCTCAAATTTCCGCCCTCACACGCTTGGACAATATGTACCAGATTTTAAAAGAAGCGAGAAAAAACGTCAACAATGCAAATGTCAAGTGACGAGTCTTGCCGGTCTAAGCCAATTGTACAACTAATGCTGTTAATACATAGTAATTTTCTCTCCTACCAGATAAGTAGGGCAAAGGCTTTACATTCTATCAAGCACTTAAATGAGATTAAATCCTACCATTCCGAAATGTGTGGACTGTTAGTAAAGTTTCAATATATTCAAAACCTCCATGTTAAGGGATTATGAACTGTGCATTCTGCCTGAAGGTTTGAATCTGCTTTTATGCAGCTCAACTGCTAGTAATTGAAAAGAGCATTAACAGTCTCTAAAAGTAAAATTCAATGTGGATCTTAGTTAGTTGGTATGAGATTCTACCCAATCTTCAGATCCATGGAATGCAACATCTGGTCATATGAACAATGTTTCCATCTAAACATTTTGGATTTATGTATTTCCATGATGTGTCTGTACACAGTGATGAGATCTATGATGGTTAAAGTGTGTAAAATTTGCCCTGAACCGAGAATGACCCATCAGATCCTGTCTTGGCAAAACCACTTCCCGCCTCCTTCTGTGAAGTTCGCTCAAACTTGCTTCATAAGGTAACTTTCACACCCAATCAGGTATGACCTTTGTAGGTGATGCTTCTTAACAGCCACACTGTGTACGTTTCCTGTTCTTAGAATGAGTTGGATATTTGATCTGCTTTGATTTATTCTTGCAGTCTTATTATTTCCCTGACAACACCTACAAACATGCAGTATTCAAATAAAATCTGACAAGCAATTTTCTAATGCCTCAGATTGTTACAGTATGTTGCGTGCTGGGTTGCATTTGGCCCCCAGTATTAATATATGAAATCAGTATATCAGTCCAAAGTATATTCATGGAAACTATGCTTTCTGATTTCAGTAAGGATAGTAGCAACAAATGTTGAATTTTAAAATGTAACTGTTACAGAAAACATAAATGTGACCACTGGATAAAGAGCATTAAACATTGCACAAACACAGTGCAAAGCCCCCTATTTGCAAGAATACAGCAAAACATGGTGTAAGGATTAATGTTCTTTTTGCAGTATGTGACACAAATTTCCATTAATAATTTTTGTGGATTCCTGAGTTTCTGTGTTTTGGGAGCAAATTTTTGTCTGTATCCATTTTCAGCCTTTTTGTAAACTGATAGTGATGTACATTGTACATGACAATTAATGACCTCCTCACAGTGTAATTTCACGGGTCTACAGACTTAAGAACAGCATTGAACAGATGGGCTGTTGTGTCACTGCCAAGCAACCCCTGGGGAGCGGGGGAAGGGGGGGGGGGTATTAGTTGCGATAGCCTGGGAACGTATTCAGCCTGTGATCAGATTAATTCGGCTTGACCCGACAGCCTGTTTAAACTGAGAGTAAGATATCTAAACACTGTCCATTTCAGTTCAGTAACTTTGTATAATCTTGGATCTCACATCACATTTTAGGTATGAAAATCAAAGTTTATGATGTTGGTCAGTTTCACCCAAAGAGTGCAAAGTTATAAAATGTGTTAACTTTACAAAATATGCATATCTATCTATCTATCTATCTATCTATCTATCTATCTATCTATCTATCTATCTATCTATCTGTCTATCTATCTATCTATCTATCTATCTATCTATTTTATAAGCTTCAATCTCTTTTGGACACATTGTCATATTTTATACGTTTTTAATTTTAGGATGTTTATATGGACAAAAAACACACACAAACTTTCTTAAAAGGCAACGAAAATTATTTGAAGTGACCATGTAGTCATTTTGAACCCAAACTGTAACAAAGGTAGAAGTTTTCAAATATCCAGCCAGCCATCACTGTAACCACTGAATCCAAACTGGGCTTGTGGGGGCACCAAAGTCTATCCTGGCAGAACCAACACTGCAGAGCACATACACAGGGCCAATTTAGAGTCACTAATTAACCTATCAAGCACACTTTTGGACTGTGGGAGGAAACTGGAGCCCCTGGCAGAATCCCATACAAACACAAGGAGAGCGTGCAAACTCCACACAGAAAGGACCTACACCCAACCCAGGACCTTCTCGCTGTTAGGCAGCAGCACTAACCACTGCATCACCGTGCTGCACTCATTTACAAGTATGTCACCTGAAAATGTTTTGTGCTTTAAATAAGCTTGGATATCTTTAGGATAAGTTATTACATTCTAGGCATTTTTTTATGCAATTATTTTAGGGAAAAATGGTGGATTTTATCTCTTCACAATGTGTGTATGGAGACTGCAGCCCAAGAACTGGAACTCTGGTGCTATCAGCTGCTCAAAAAGAAGTTATTGAGTGTAAGGGATGAGATTAGTGAATCAGGTCTGCGGCGTATTAGTCAACGTGAAAATAAATTGTATCATTTTAAAATCACGTGTGGAGGGTGCAGGATTCTAACCTATTGCAATGGTTTAGGGCCACTAACAACTATTTTTCCATCAATTAATCTATCGACTATTGTACCAATTCGGTGATTAATCTAAATGATTTTCTTCCTCAAAATAAAGTTGTCCATTTCATTTAAGTTAATTTTGTTTTTACAAGAACAAACTATTTGCCATTGCATTTTGATCATGTGCCTTCTTCAAATTTCTTGCTTAAATCATTTATTTTATGATGTGACATATCTTTCACTGATGAAGTATGATTAAAATACAATTATTCATGTTAGAATAACTTTGAATTTGGATAAGCTGGGTCTTTGTATGTTACAAAAATATCTTTAGTAGTCCAGTACTTTAACTCAAGTAAAAAATTTGACAACATTTTTTTTTACCAGGAGTCAAATAATGGAGTTGCATACTTGTGTAATTCTGGTGGAAATACAGTGACTCCTTCACATTCACGCATTTGACATTTGTGATATCGGTTATTCACAAGTTGCCTGTGAATGAGAATATTTCAAAATAGCACTTGGAAAGAGCACTGCACTACACAGATGTATGTGTACGTTTGTGTATGTGACAAATAAAACAAATCACAAGGCCCTTGCTCAAGGGCCCAACTGTGATATCAGCCAAACCTGGGATTTGAACCAGCAACACTCCAATTGTCTTATTTACATAAAAAAGACAACAGTAGAGCATTTTATGGTGTCTTATCAAATGAATGAGTCAATAACCCTGATTAAACCATTTATTCACTAAAGAAATGAAAATGTAAGACATTGTGTCTATTATTTGCAAAAATGTCTTACTGTATTATGACTTCTAGGAGCCTCTGATGCAGAAATCCCAGTAATTCCAAATGGTTTCCAAAAAAAGAGGTCTAAACCCTAATCCCATGAACAAAAAAAAAAGGTTTAAAAAAAAAATTCACAGTAAGCCTGAGAAAAAAACTCCAGAAACAGGTATTCAGACCAATCAAAGCAAGTACAAAACATGCAAGCAGGAAGGGAAGTAACAGCCCATATTAGCTGGGAAAGAGCATTCAGGGAATTAGGTTTTTAATATTCTTACCCCAAAGAAAAAGGCTTTCTTCTCTCATGGACCATCACAGAGGTTTGTTTATGCTTAAAAACGTAGCCTTCACAAGACTTCACAATCATGTGCCAGATGAGGATAAATCCAGGCTCCTTGGCAACAGATGTCAACCTTCATTTGCTGGTGCCAAACAGCCCTGGCACAATGGCCTAATCCCGGTTTATTTCCGTTTTGTTTTAGTCATTGCCATTCTATATGCGCACACGCAAAAAATTACAAATGAAAATGAAATCGATACACACACACACACACACACACACCCTTAAAGTACACACTCCAGAAACGGCCCCTCGGGTTGGTCCAGCTGCTCGGGTACTCAGCGATGAGGATCCTGTGAGCTGGATCACCCTCGGGGAAACGCGTCACATGGCCATAACTGACGCTCCCTCACAGTGCAGGTAATGTGCCTCATTTGGGACTCATCTAGCAAGCGCTCATTCGACACCAAGTCAAACCAGCGGTACCCAAGGATTCTCCTAGGAGACACAGTACCGAAGGAGTCCAGTTTTCATCTCAGCTCACTGGATAACGTTCATGTCTCACAGCCATACAGGGAGCACCAGGACTCTAAAGACTTGGTCGGTCTGCAGACTTTATAGGAAGAGACACCAGAGACACGAATGTCACTGCAGAGGTAAGTCATTAAAGGCCAGGATCTTGGTCTTTAGGACACTCAAAAGCACCTTTAAGTTACCCAAAATTCATGCTATGTATGAACGGCTGGCAGATGGTTCCAAGTGTTGCCCCTGCACTGCTAATCCATCACATCTGGCAATGCATCAGGAGTCTTTCACTACTGCCTCATTACCACCAATGTGGGCCAGTGCTGCTTTTGAATCAATCCAAAATGCACCTTTTCTTTCACTTCCCCCATGTAAATGTCAGGGTCGGCCTCCCACTGTGGTCCTTCCGTACCCCTTCCCCGTTTGACCAGCAGGTGGTGCTGGTCATCCCGTCCATACGTCAGTCCTTGTTTCTCCCCTGTCTCTTGTCTGGTCTTGTGGCTCAATGTATTAAGCATGTGCTGTCTGTTTGCCCCTCGATCCTGAGTTCCCTCTTGTTGTGAGTTCGAATCCCGCCTCCTCTGTTTTTGTATTTTGCTCTCTAGTGTTTCATTTGAGTTTCTTTAGTTCTTGTGTCTGATTTTGTAGTTGGTTTTGGTTTTGGTTTTGTTCCTTGTGCCCCTGCTTGTGTCTTTACCTGTTTAATTCCCTAGTGTTGGTTTCTGTTTCCTTGATTCTTAGTTTCCCTGATTGTTAGTGTCTTTGAGGTAATTGGTTTCACCTGTGTCCTGTTTCCCTAGTCCTTGTTAATCAGTCTCACCTGCCCTGTGTTAGTCATTACCCCTGTAGTATATTAGTTCCTGCCTTTGTTCTGTTCCCCGCTGGTTCATCGCGTCGTGTTTTGTGTCTATGATTGTCGTTAGTTGATGGTTTTGATATTTTCAGTGTTCTGCGTGTATTTGGTTTTTGTTATTTAGTCTTGTTTAATCCCCTTTCTGTTTTTGACCCCTTGTGGTCTTTTTGGTTTAGTTGTGTTTATAGTGTTTTCAGTTTTGTTTAATAAACCCTGTTTTTGTGTTCCTGGAGCCGCAAGTGGGTCGTCCGCCCTTTTTTGTGCACCATGCCCCGTTCCCGTGCCCGAGATGCCCGCAACCATGACAGTAAAGTTTGTTTTTTGAAACCAGTGGAATCAGGCTGGTTCTCAATGGGCACCAAGTGAGAACACGCCCAGCACCAGGTCTGTGGTGGCAGAAGAGCTGAACCTGAAATTGATAGAACATCACTGTCAAGAGCATGGTTTGTGTATGGTTGTATCTGTACCAGGACTGTTGGAGTACTAACCGATTTGGTCCCTACCAAATTTGAAGCCAAATCTACACCCTTCCCCAAGCCCCAGGATGACCAAGCACTTAATCTGTACAACCACCTCACGTAACACAAGGTGATGCCAGTCCGGCATGTATAAGCTGGTGCTTATACAGTAAAGCCACAAAACAGGGTATTGTTAGTGGGAATCAGCATTGGCTTTACATGCAGCCGTTCCCCTCTGAGGCTAGCTTCATCAGCTGTTAGGGCCTGGTACTGAGCTCCATATTGGGGATGTTCCCTGAAGGGAAGGCTTCCTCAGTGAAGGACACACCATTGTGTACAACCACCCCCACCACCTTCCATCTAGGGAGACATTCTAGTCAAAAGCCATAGCTAGCAAGCAGTGGGATGGGGTTGGAAGTTTCTAAGCAGCCCAGAAGTGTACTTGGGAGCCAAGAAATGAGCAGACAACATTTCATATACTACTAGTGCTTTATTCAGTCATAAGGTGGTGCCCTTGGTTCCCAGCACAGTCCAACTGCAGCCATCACATGAGGGGAAGATAGCATAAGCAGCACAGATGGCAGAAAGTTAGGTGGCTCCTTCCATCCTGGTACCATGCACAGCTTGGTACTGTACATTAGGGCAGTAGGTACCTATCCCTTCAGCATATACAGCTGTCCAGGCTGACTACCCATGGGAGGACCCTGTTGGATAGCAATGGGACCCAGAACACCTGTGCCTTGAGCACCTGCAGGGGCAAGAAGGGAGCCTCAGTCACACCAACACAAGCCACCAGAGCATCTTCTGGGCAGAGCCAAGCATACCTGCTACACCTGCAGGTCCACAGCTGGTGTCACAGCAGCCACACACCTGGTCATTCCCA